CCTTTATGAAACGGAACCACAACGGACGGCACTATGTCCGTGGTGGTATTGCGTGTTTTTTGGACCGCCACGGGCGTGCTATGTCCGTCACGGTGCCGCCCACGGAGCCTATAGGCTAAATCACTGTAGCATTTCGCCTATAGGTGTTGGGTAGTGGCTTCTATATATATAGAAGACTGTTTCATTATATTACTATAAAGCTGTTGTATGATATCACTACGCTATGCGAGGAGTGACTTCATGACACCATGTCATTATAATATAATGAAATCACACTTCTAGAAAACAATGTTTGTGGCACTTATGTCACCCCAACTTTTGCATAGGCACTCTCTTCTTCCCAACATTTAATCCCCTCCAAAAAATAATATTAAAATTTAATTTGCACCTTACATATGGTTAAAATTAGCCCCCCTTCCAAGAATGAATCTTGATCGCCCATTTGGTGAATTTTAAGATCTAGACTTGTGGGAACTAAAAAATAGTCTTTTATTTTTTGACATTGTTCATCTAATGATAACAAAATCATCTTCAAAATTTGGAAAATGAAAAAGTTCCTTCTAAGGCCTAGATGTAAGCATCTCACTAAAGAGACAACCTATGTTAAGTGGGTTAAAAAAACACTTTTAGGGTGTGTTTTCAAAATTTATGTTTTTTGTAATTGTTCATCAAAATGAAAGGAGTATATATTTACAAATTGGGGTCAAATAAATGGCCCTAACATGGTTTTTTAAGATTGTTTTATTGTATTACTATAAAACCGTTGAATGGTATCACTCCCCACACAAAACACACACACACAAATACATATATGGAAAAGTACACAATAAGAATGTTTATTTTTGGCACAAGGAGATCACAATCATTATTGACCATTAGTTGTGAAATTGGGTGGCTGGGGTTGTGTTATTGATTGAGCATAATAATCAAAATACAATTTTTTGAACTGTGTAATACACCGTTAGCTGTCAGATTTCACATCTGATGTCTATAGGTGATTGTGACCTTGCACTAAAAATAAAAGGTTTTGTGGCGTACAATCACTATATATATATATATATATGAATGGTCTTGTTGTATGCAGTCAATATATTTATATATTGGAATTTAGAAATACGAGTCATAGTCTAAAGCTATACATCTTTGATGCAGTTAATCTTCTCGGACATGGATTCTGTTGCTCCTTCTATTGACACCAAAGTTGCACCTGGCAATTTGGATGAGAAGAGTGCCCTTTTGGTGGAGGAATTCCATGAGGTTCAGGAGATCTTTGACAGTTCAGAGTGGTCCCATGATGAGGATGTTGCCCCCGATATACTTCCTCCTGTAACTGCAAAAAATGGTGTTCACTGTGGATCGGAACATGGTGCTATGCAAAAGGATATCAAGAATAACATCGTCCAGCCTAAGTTGGAGCAGAATGGTGTGCACCACAAATCTGAGCCTGCTGTTCCTGAAGAGAATGTTGGAAAGCCTAAGGTAGAGCAGAATGGTGTGCACCACAAATCTGAGCCTGCTGTTCCGGAAAAGAATGTTGGAAATATTATCTCACAAATAAAGTTAGGGGCCAATGGTGTGCATAATAATAGGTTCCAACCCAGTGTTCTGCAAGAGAGGGCAGAAAACATTGTTTCCCAGCAAAAGTTAGAGACAAATTTTGCTCATCACAAATTGGAACCTAGCGGTCGGCACACAATAACAGAAATTTTTTTTTCTCATCAGAAGTTAGAAGTGAGTGATGCACACCATAAATTGGAATCAAGTGCTCTGCAAAAGACTACGGATAACATTGATCCCAAGCATAAAATGGAGATGAATGGTGTACACTATAAGCTGGAACCTGTTGTTCCTCAACATAAAATAGAGAACATGCTTTCCTTGAAGGATTTAGTCTTGAATGGTGTGCACCGTATTTTAGAAACGGGCCTTTCTCAAAAGGAAAAAGAGAAAATTGTATCCCAACAGAAATCAGAGCCCCAAGAGAAGTCTGAAGCTAATGCTCATTCCCTGACGACTGAAAGTTCATTGTCCCCCCCAACCCCCAAACTACAACCTATTGCACGTGTTGAGGCAGTGAGGAATTCAGTTTTTCCCAAGCAAAAGATTAAACAGGATGAATCAGAGGTTCCTCTTGCAAAACCCACAAAACCCAAGAAAGTTCCTCGGTGGATTCCACCAAGGCCTGAACCAAATCCAGGTTATGCAAACCCTCTCCATGTCTCACCTCATCCTCCTACTAGATATAACAGTTCACCTGCTGCTCTTGGCATCACTCCTTTTCTAGATTATGCTTCATATGAGAACACAGTCACATTGCCTTCTACTGCTGAATTTGAAGATGTGGATTCAGAGGGGAATGAATCCACATCCTCTAATGGTTTGCCTGAGGCTAATTCTATTGCACCTCCACCGACTGTGCAAACTTATCCAATGGGGACAATGCCTAAACAACCATCTCCTTTTTCACAAGTGGCATCTGTTGTGAGTTCAATGTCTACGACTTTACATGAGAAAAATACTGCTCTATTGCCACCATCACCCCCTCCCCCATTTCCACTAACGATGGGTTCTACAACTTCACGATTACTGCTCTTCCAAACAGTGGCTTCTCCGCCCCATCCACCTCTACCCCCTCCACCACCTCCATCAGGGACTTCATTGAAAGTCATTTTCACTCCACCTGCCCCTCCGCCACCCCCACCACCACCACCACCACCACCCGGCTCTTGTATTCCTCCTCCTCCACCACCACTACCTTCGCCGCCAAGAGCCACATCATCAGGTCTCCAATTTCAGACACCTCCACCTCCTCCTCAGCCACCACCTCCTCTACGCTCAGGTTCTCGCTTTTATGGCCCACCCTCCTCCCCCTCCTCCTCCCCCCCTCCCCAAACTTTGTGAATAATGGATTTTTAGCTCCACCTTCTCGGTCTCCTCCTCCCCCTCCCCCTCCCCCTCCCCCTCCACCTCCACCTCCTTCTGCTTTTGTAAGCACTTCTTTGTCACCTCCACCTCCACCACGACCACCACCACCACCACCACCTCCTTTGCATATGGGGAGCACCGCTCAAGGTTCCTTGCAAGGCCTCCCACCCCCTCCCCCTCCCCCTCCCCCTCCTCCTCCTCCTCCTCCTTCTCCTCCTCCTCCCATGCCAAAGGTCGGTGGTTTGGGTGCTCCTCCTCCTCCTCCACCTCCCCCACCTCCCACTGGATCTATGCCTTCTCTTTCTCAAGGTTCTATTCCGCGTGGATCAGCACCTCCTCCCCCTCCACCTCCTCCTCGTCCTGCTACCACTCCCAATGCTCCTCTTCCTCCGCCTCCTCCTCCTCCCCCTCCAGGTCGTGGAGCTCCACCTCCTCCAGGTCGTGGAGCTCCACCTCCTCCTCCTCCCCCTCCAGGTCGTGGAGCTCCACCTCCTCCTCCCCCTCCAGGTCGTGGAGCTCCGCCTCCTCCTCCTCCCCCTCCAAGTCGTGGAGCTCCGCCTCCTCCTCCTCCCCCTCCAGTTCTTGGAGCTCCTCCTCCTCCTCCTCCGCCTCCAAATCGTGGAGCTCCAGCTCTCCCTCCGCCTCCAAATCGTGGAGCTCCCCCTCCACCTCCCCCTCCTGGAGGATGTGGAGCTCCACCGCCCCCTCCCCCTCCTGGAGGACGTGGGGCTCCACCTCCCCCTCCCCCTCCTGGAGGTCGTGCTCCCTGTCCTCCAACGCCTCCAAGGGCACCAGGAGCTGGGGCACCCCCACCGCCTCCCCCAGGGGTTGGTAAGCCAATGGCTTCAAACTTATCACTTGGGGATAGGGGGCGTGGACCTTCACGCCTTGTGCAGCCATCAACTCGCCGAACGTCTCTAAAGCCTCTTCATTGGGTCAAGGTAACAAGAGCGGTGCAAGGCAGCTTATGGGCAGAGTCGCAAAATTATGATGAGGCTTCCAAGTATTAAACTATTGCTCTCATATTTATTGGCTTTTTCTTTTTCTTTTAAAAATGGATTTTGCTTGTTGTTTGTTTAGTTGTTTACTTCTATTTGTACTTTAACATTCTAGAGCTCCGGAGATAGATATAATAGAACTTGCGAGTATCTTCTCTACTGTGGTGCCAACTTCAGATGGAAAATCAGGGGATAAATCTGAAGGAAGGCGCAAGTCTCTTGGGAAACCGGATAAAGTTCATTTGGTAAGACCTATAAATTAAGTTCATATTGCTTATTTAGAGTAGCTTCCTCTGGCATCATATCACCTTGTTTCTCTCTGACTTTCTTTATTAATTTCTCATTATCAAGTGCATAAAAGCATAAATTCTAAAAACATTTTGCTTTGATGTTCTTATAGAGAATGCATACATATCCGTTTTTTGAGGAAAGTTTGACTTGGTATGCCTACATAACAGTCGCGCAAAATGGTGATCAAATGCATGGCATGAAATATTTGACAACATTACTGCGATCTAATGAATTTTATAAGCTCAATGCTTAATCTCAATTGTTAAAAGTGCAAAATGGATTTTTTTCCCATTTGCTTTTTGTCTTATGAAATACCTCTGTTAAATGTAGAAGTTTTAGTTGTTTAGTTGACGGAATAATATGACCGTTTTTGCCCTTTTCTGCCCTTGGAATAAACTTTCTTATGGAATAAATCGTTTATGATCACTTCCATTTCATGATTTTATTTATGACATCCTTTCATCTAGTGTGGGTTCCTCATCTACCGCGTTGTTCTTTTTGTGTAAGTGGGCTTATCTCCTAGGTGCAATCCTTGAATTCTTTAATTTGAAGAGCAAAGTAAAGCTATGTAATTATGCAATAATAATAATAATAATAATAAGAAATTGGAATCTGCTAGCCAAGTCAAATATGTCTTTAACTCATGCAAAAGAGATGATGGCACATCATTCTTTATTGAATCTTTATTTTCTTGTTACTCTTAGTGTTTCCACCTAGCTGATCTACTCGGAATTAGAAACCACACTTCTAGCCATGTATAGTGATTACTGTAAAATGGTCTATTCCTTGGTTATTTTTATGTAGTGTTTAGTTTAAATTGATGTCAATGCTGAAAATATCATGGGAACGAGCTCTGGTTAGAGATGGTTAGGGTGGAAGGTGCCACTACATGACATCTAGAGCTCCATTCTCAACGAGGTCTTGAGTTAACATCATCATCATCCGAGCCTTTTCCCAAGTATTTGGGGTTAGCTACACGAATCATGCTTCATCATTCCTGTCTATTAAGGGCTAGAACCTCAGTCATACCATATGTCACCATATCTCTTCTCACTACTTCCATCCATGTCCCTTTTGGGCATTCTCTTTACCCCTTTAGAGCCTTCCACTAATATCAAATTGCCTCTCCTAATTGTTGTTGTTCTACGTCGATGCTGCACATGTCCAGACCACTTAAGTCTATTCTCCCTCATCTTATTACCTATTGGAGCCACCCCTAAGTTCCCTCGGATGTATTCATACTGAATTCTATTATTTCTTGTTTTGTCACTCATCCATCTCAACATTATCATCTCAGCTACACTCATTCTTTGAATATGTCGTTTCTTAATCGCTCAACATTCTAGTCTTGCAACCGTCCTATAGAACTTCCCCTTCAGTCCCAAGTTAACATCTAAAAAGAAAAAAAAGAACCTAAAAAATATCATAAGCATCTAAAAAACTAAAGAAGAAAATAATCTAAAAATATCATAGGCCTTAGCATCTTAATTTAGGGTAACGTAGAAAGAACGACTGTTTTTTCCCATTTCATACACTCTGTCAAAGTTCATGCATAATCCATATGCTTGTTGCAATAAGAATCTTTTATCGCCTTTATAGGCCTTGATAACATCATTCATATTTATTCTTTTTCTTGTTCTCAGATGTCTGAGCTAATTATCTATGCTTCTTAACCCCAACTATACAGATTGAACAGAGACGAGCTTATAATTGTGAAATCATGCTCACGAAGGTCAAGATACCTCTCTCCGATCTTATGGTAAGCTCAAGTGGTATTCGGCTTCATTGCACTTCAAATATTATAAGTAGATTTCGTGAAAATGTCGTAAAGAAAATCAATATCTTCAATGTTTCGTACTCTGGCTGTGCCCTCTGTGTTCGGAGTTCCAAACTTGTTTTACGACAAGTTCTATTTTGTTCTTTTTTTATTAATGCCCAACTGCATGCTGTGATAAACGTTATAAACTGGTGCTTCATGGCTGTTAATCATATGAATGTTGCCACAGAGTGCAGCACTTGCATTGGATGATTCGATTCTTGAAGTTGATCAGGTGGAAAATCTTATAAAGTTCTGTCCTACAAAAGAGGAAATGGAGCTTCTTAAGGTGATTTTTATTTTGACATCCACTTCTATTTAATAAAAATTTTCTTGTCATTGCACATTTCTTCTTGCAGAGATTTTTTATCTCTCTTCCTTTTATGTACAAGTGAATTACATTAATTGTTGTACACCTGAATTTTTAGTAGCTTGAATAGTGTTTGCTTACCTTTTCTTTATCTTCCTTGAGTTATCAGGGGTACACTGGGAGCAAAGAAAATTTGGGGAGATGTGAACAGGTCTGGAACTTTCCTTATTTGCCGTTTGCTATGCACTTTTCATTAATCATGTCGAAGTCTAACATTCAGCAGAGATATAATTATCTAAACCTGAACAAAATTAGCTGTTGGATAGTTAATTAGAATGATATTCTCTTTGTGCTTTAGTTAAACACCTTAATTTCTATGATTTCGCTAAATACGTTTGGTGCCTTGATTTTGAAAATTGGTCAGTGCACATTTAGCTTTTGATAAATTCCAATTTTGCATATTTACAGGTTAAGTTATTTGAAAGTTTTGAGTTTTTGTCTGCAGCTGTTTTTGGAGATGATGAAAATTCCACGGGTTGAATCAAAGCTCAGAGTTTTTTCATTTAAGAGTCAGTTTAACTCTCAGGTTGTAAGAGTCTTCTTCATTCTTTTCAGTACTTGGGAGTATGGTATCTTAATGATCCTTATAATTGGCTTCTCTGACCATCTATTTTTTGCAGATAGTTGATTTCAGAAAGAGTTTAAACCTCGTGAACTCTGCCTGTGAAGAGGTGAGCATCATCTGTTTAATGCTTTTATGCCATAGGCCTCTTTATACAGTTTGTATGATTTTATATCAACATTCTGTCTGATTCTGTCATTTCAGATAAGAAACTCCATCAAATTGAAAGCCATCATGAGGACCATCCTTTTATTGGGCAATGCATTAAACCAGGGAACTTCTCGGGGTTAGTCACATATCAATTTGAACTGCTATTGAGCTCGTATGATTCAGTTGTCAGACAGTTTTTCTGGTTTAAGGGGTTCTTGTTTTGTATTGCGACCTTTCTTGTGTTGCTTCATAGTGCTTCCCCATGCACTGCCTTCTTTTTTTTTGGGGATTTCACTTCCTAAACATACACTCAATTAGAACTCTGTGCATATTACCAAAAGATTCTTAGCATGTCATTCACATGCAAGCTAGTCTTAAATCTAGGAGACAAACCCATTCATGCCCAGGGATATCATTGAAAAAGTCATCTGTGTTAATATTATTTTTGGCCTTTCTTACTAACCTCATGGGTTTCACTTCCTAAACATACATCCAACAAAATCCCTATGCTTGTTATGCTTGTTATCATTACAACTGTTTTAATGTCCTTCACATGCATAATTAGTCTTCATCTGGGAGTGCAATCTGTTCATGCCCATAGATGATATTGGAAAAATCATCTGTGCTGATATTATTTTGGTCTTTTTTACTTTATATGTACGAATGATTCTGCACGTACGAATAATTGTGGTGATTATTTTGTTTTGGGGAATTTATCAGAATGCCCATGATAGATGAATTATGCAACATTTTATCCATTTTGCAACTATTCCAACTCAAGGTCATATGTTTTTTCATGGGTGTTTTGAAAGAAAGGAAAAAAGGATGGGTAAAGTGTCAAATTGGTCATCTCTATGGGTATGCTGATAATTTCCCTTTTGTTTTAGGCTTTATCTTTAACAATTTAACTTGATATACGGTTTTCTAGAGGGATTTACAGCAATGCTTATCATGTTTACATTGTATTTTATGGAACAATCAGATATTTGACTTTTGCATAGTTTAGTAATAGCTGGAGATGTCAATATGAAAATTTAAAAGTCCGATTGTTTCTGCTGTGGGTTTCAACTTTAATCAATTTTTTTAATCTAAAACGTTACTTGGGGCGCAAGACTGAACTTCCTTCATCTACTTGGTTTTTGTATCCTTTATTGGGATCATTTACTTTCTCTCATTTCTTGCTGATTTTTTTTTCTTTTTTGCCTAATAGGTTCTGCAGTAGGATTCCGGCTGGATAGCCTTCTAAAATTATCAGATACCCGTGCTTCTAGCGGGAAGATTACCCTTATGAACTATCTATGTAAGGTGGGTACTTTGAAATTTCCTTTTCAATATTTTACATAAAAGTTCTGTTGTTTCAGTGCACATGAATGGACCCATTTTTCTGAGATTGCCTCCTGGGAAACTGTATAACATGACAGTTGCATTCTCCAAGTTGGGCGTTTAGGAACTAATATCCGAGTAACATTGGTTATTCATGTCATGTTCGTTGTAAATAAATGTTTGTTGTCACTGACGAGTAAAGCTTGTAAAAATAAAACGTTAGACATCCACTTACTAAGTAATCACTCAGCTACTAAATAATCTGAAAAACAACAATTGAAAACCGAATTGCTCACTTCGGCACTTCAATAAATTGATGAATGACCAAATCATGTGATTCCTTCAACTTCGACGTTGGCAGTTGTTAGTTCATAAGATGCTCGACTGATTTTCAGATTACCTTGAGTCTTGTATTGTTTAAGAGCCACTTTCTTGTCATTTAAATGCTCTATTGCAGTTTCTTCTCGTCACTTGTATGGTATGTTTGGTCTTGGTTGGATCTGAATTTTGATGTGGAGGGCTTAGACAGACTCCCAAAGCCCCTTTTTGTGTATTCTTAACTGACTTCATAAGCCACAAACTCTCCATGGATGGCAAAAAAAAAAAGGAACCACATGTCAGAAGCATGCCATGAAATGCTTTGCGACCAGAGAAAGTAGTCTAGTTATCTAGTAGGATGTTTATGTAGATTGCTTATTGCATGCCGTGAGTCAGAAGTTACCATAAAAAATATTCCTTAATATGCTCTTCAGAGTTCTCCATGAATCATTCAGGGCACATGAATTTGGCTCATACTTCTGATTTTATCCTTGGTAAGGGCTTGCAGCCTTACACTTATTGTATATATATCAGATATCTGTGAGATGCCACTGAGTTTACATGTTTTCTCATATTGCATTTATTTACCTTTTGAAAATGACAGATTCTTGCCGATAAGCAACCGGAACTTCTTGATTTTCACAAGGAACTTTTCAGCTTGGAAAGTGCATCCAAGGTTTTATTCTTCTGGTGGCTTATTTTTTACTCTTATCTGTCTTGCTAGTTTCTAGCCATTTAGATTTGATCAGAAGGATTAATGCCGTATACAGATTCAGTTAAAGTCTTTGGCAGAAGAAATGCAAGCAATCACGAAAGGGCTTGAGAAGGTTGAGCAGGAGTTGGCTGCATCTCAGAATGATGGCCGTGTTTCAGAAGGTTTCCACAAGGTATTATGGGGATCTTGTGAGCTCATCTATTCTAATTTTTAATTGTAATTCTTTTACTAGGAAAAACATATGGTTGTTTCATCTTGGGTGTCATTTTCTTCTTTATTTTGCTCTCTCTCTCTCTCTCTCTCTCTCTCTCTAATTGAGCCAAAAAATAAGGGTTATTTCGTAAGCGCTTTAAATAAATCAGAATCCAACCTGGTCATCAGTCGATTGCCCCAGCGCCAATTAATGTTAGTTTCCTTCTTTGTTTAGACGTTGAAGGAGTTTCTTGTGACTTCTGAATCCGAAGTGAGATCCTTGACTTCACTCTATTCTGCAGTGGTATGTTAATACATTAATAATGGAAACTGTTGTAATTTGCATGACAATCCGATGCCTGTTTTTTTAACTTATGGAGCACTTAACAGGGCAGAAATGCAGATGCCCTTACCCTCTATTTTGGGGAAGACCCAGCTCGCTGCCCATTCGAACAAGGTAACTTCCAAACATGTGAATGCCTCTCCATCTCTCATGTCGGAACTGATTCTCATACTTCTTAAATGAAAAATATAGGTATTTGTAATTGCATATTATACATCATGTATGTGGTTTGTAATGCACATTTATAGCATGTACCTCCTGTTCTAAGCATCCACGGTTGAGATGAAACATAGTTTGATAGTGACTGTCCTGTCTTGTAGGAAAGTTTCATCTCCACTTCATTTTCCTGGGAACGGATGCCCTGGATTCATGTTATATACCAAGCATATTTTGTTTATATTATCCTACCTATCCCTTTTGTCATTGGGATTCTTCTTTTTTTTTTTTTTTAAATTCTGAGGGAGCAAGAATTGATATCTTCATTTTATGTACATAAAAGCACATATCCTAAAATAGTATGCAGTACTATGAAAAAATATATGTATTCATAATGAGTATCATGGAAATGCAGTCATGTCAACACTGTCAAATTTTGTGAGGATGTTTAAGAATGCACATGAGGACAACTGTCGCCAGGCCGAGCTTGCGAGAAAGAAAGCAGAAAAAGAGGCAGAGAAGGAGAGGATGAAGGCCTCGGCTCCTCCTACGAGGAGAGGAGAGAGAGAGGGGGAGAAGGATCGGCCAATGAATCCATTGGCTTCAGCAAGGAAAAAAACAGGATGGGAGTCTGTTGCTCTTGCTCTTGGTGGCTAATAAATCACGTGGGATAAATGAATGGGTGGGTTTCTTTCACGAGGGAGGAGGAGGAGGGGTCGTGAGTTTAGTAGAAAATGGCCCCTTCAGATGCATTGGGAGTTTCCATATGAGAACCTCAATTGTGATATATGGGGGCAAGGTCAGCCTTTTCACCTTGCTTTTTCTATTCTAACAAAGAGTATACATAATCCAATGAACCATGAGAAAACTATTTTGCATCAATTTTTTAAATTTTAGTGCGTTTGGTCATCAGTGTCCATTGAAAGATGGAAAACAATGGAGGGAGAGCGGGAGCCACCATTGGATTCATGTCATGTTCTGGTGGTTTCCACTCTCAATCAATGCCAACCATTTCAATGCTTGGGATGAAGTAACTGATTATTGTTATTATTATTTTTCCCATTGCCTGGTGGATTATGTAATATATTTTCCCCTTTTCACTTACCGTAATGTTTTTTTTAAAAGAAAGTGTGTAGAGTACAGTGGATTGGTAAATGTTACTCCAAAGCTACATCCACCATCTGTTTCCACTAACGGATGGTTGGAGATTAAGCTGAACGTAGGCCCATGGGGACATGTGGATACAGTCTATTGCCGACCATTCGGCTGTCTCCCGACAGACTGTAGATGTAGCTTGTAGTCCATTGGATGATGCTATGCTTTCTCTTGTTCAATTATAATTGTCCCTTTTCACACTGTTGAGTAGTGATCCCTTTAGCTTGCTAAATTCAATGGTTTGTTGTCTTGGTTTTGCTGTAGCAACTGCTTTCCAGCGAGGAGCGGCTGGTGTGATCAGGTTTGGATATTGGTGATGGTATAAAAATCCGACTTGCGGTCAATTCTTTTTGTAATATAGATTTTTTTCTCGGTTCGTTTGTTCTTTGCTTCTTGAGGCTTTTTCCTCGGAGCCCTTGTATCATATAGAGAGAGAGAGAGAGAGAGAGAGAGAGAGAGAGAGAGCTATTTGCGGGTAGGGCCCAGCAAAACACAGAGAGAGAGAGAGATGCACATATACAAGCTTGTTCAGTGTGATTGATGGGACGATATTACTTGGTGTGCAAGGTCAAGTTTTTTGTTCAAATGAAGTTCTTTGGCAGAAGCTTCATATTGTAAATGTTCATGTGCTCTTAGGTCTGAGCTCATTGCTCAACGGATGGTAGTTTGTTTGTTTGGATGGGTTATGTGACCCAAAAATCAGGAAAAATGTAAAATAAAAATTCCATCAAGGGAATAATTTGTCTTATTTTTATTGCCTTCTCAAAAGATCACCAAAATGTTATCACAATCTTGAGATTGTGATTCTGTTATCTCTCTCCAGAGATGGATAGATTGTGCTCTCTCTCTAGACAGGCGCATCCATGCATATTTTTCTGTTTTCTTATTGTGTTGTTTGGAATCCTGCAAGAAACCTAGAACAAAAGGCTACATCTCCACGTGCCTATATATCTTGTTTGAATCAAATTTGGATTGAGATTAGGAGAGCTAAGAGGCTTGTTAGTGATTTATTTAGTGCAATGCTCCACATTTTAAATAACTTTTGAGACTTGCAGCAGCCCTACAGTGTAGGGCAGGATCTAGCTCGTGCATGTGACTCGCAACCCTACAAATTACTTTTCTATACAAGTGATGGGATGCGCGTGTGGTTTTTTGCCTGCTTGCATTTGTCTGTTAGAGAGAGAGAGAGAGAGAGAGGTGGCTTTTTCTCATAGCTTCAATATCAGTTGGAGAGAGAGAGCTTTTTTGCTTCAATATCAGTGGTCGATTCTAGAGAAACTTTTTCAAAGCCTTTAACATTAGTGGTCGATTCTAGAGAGAGAAACTTTTTCATAGCCTTTTACATTAGTGGTCGATTCTAGAGAGAGAAACTTTTTGAGCTTCAATAGTGGTGGTTGAGAGAGAGAGAGTGTGAGGAGTTTTCACGGTTTCAATAACAGTGGTTGAGAGAGAGAGAGTGAGAGGAAGAGAGTTTTTTTTCACCGCCAGAGAGAGAGAGAGCTCTTTTCAGAGCTAGAGAGAGAGAGAGAGAGAAAGACCCACCAATTGGCTTTTCTAAAAGGAAAAGAGGAGGAATGGAATGCAATTTTGGCCTCTAGCGGAGGCAACGAACCAAAGGATGGGAAGAGCCCGTGATATCCCTCCCATTCTTGCATGTGATATATACAGTTAAAAGTACAAACCTTTCACAGGGAAGAGAGAATTCCTTTCACTTGTTTTATACTCTCAATGGGGGGCACTCTTTCTCGTCTAAAATTACTGTCCTCTATCAAGTGTGACAAATTGATGATCCATCTTTGAAGGCATCCTCTATACTTTGAAAGCAAAAATTGTGCATTAGAACATTGGTGCAAGAAGCCAAGGTTTCGCTTTAATATAGGATCACCCAACTAACTAAATTAGCTCTCTCTCTCTCTATAATGAATTTATTCTAATCTTCATTTTTCTCTTGAGGGGCGCACACCTTTATCTTCAATCTTCATGGAAGGGCACCTAAAACATCTAATTCTACTCCCTCCCTATCTCTTTCTCTTTTGGATACTCGCTCTTTCTCTTTTGGGTAATTCAGTTGGGAAGATAGGTCTTTGTCTATTTTTTCAAATAGTTCATGAGTTAGTTTTTTTTTTTAAAGGAGTTAGTAGGTAGTGTCAGTGGGAATGAAATTCACAAAAGGTGTTGGGGTGGTATCAGTTAAGCCTTTTTTTCAAAATTTAGACCATTTTTTTATTTGTATATGCTATTTTTGTGCAAGGGGCATGCTAATCTTTTCTGTACCGTATCAATTTTTTCGGAGACACACTCTGTCTACCTCTTCCCATAGTCTTGTTTAATTTTGCGTATTTTTTATTCAATTAGAGAGAACATCTAAAAAAGGAAAAAATAGTGGGTAAACTGAAATATCCATGGGGGTGAACATAAAGGGGACAATGATTAAATGTTACCCTCTGGTAGAGAGAGGAAAAGGACTCATTCTACTAGAGAGAGAGATGAGGACTTTATGTAGTGCAAGAGAAAGCGATGACTATCATCTCTATTAGATTCTTTATGTAGTGAAAGGTGTAGCCTGATGGAGAAAGAAGGATGAGGACACCATTGTAGAGAGAGAGAGAGATAAGGACACCATTGTAGTGAGCGAGAGAGAGAGATAAGGACAGTATGGTCTCCATGGGATTCTTTACGTAGTGCAAGAGAAAGCAAGGAATCTATCATCTCTATCGGATAGGGGAGAGAGAGAGAGTTTAACATTTGTATTGGATTCTTTATGCAGTGAAAGGTGTAGGCAGCCTAAGAGAGAGAAAGAAGTGAGGCTAAGAGAGAGAGAGAGAGAGGAAGGGGTTGAAAATCAAAGAAGGTGGGAAGGCCAGAAGGAAAAGAACAGTTGGGCGTGGGGATGTGTGGCCATTCATTGAGGAGTCCTGTCAATTGCAGCAGTGCTATTGACCCAAAAGCAAACCAATGGAAGAGAGAGAAAAGAGAGAAAAATTATTTTTCCTAGTTTCCCTTTCATTTGGGGAAATATTAACATTTTTTGTCTGTCATGGGATTTGGAGCTTCCTCACTCACCACCCAAAAATTTCCATACTCTCATCCTCCATCTCTCTCTCATCCCATGCCTGCCAATTCCTCATCCCATGAAAACCGGACTCCTGAGACTTAACAATTGAATATAATACTACTTTGTTTTTTCCCTAGAATCAATTGCCCAAGGTCACATGCATTTGACCAAGATGAGTATCTTTTTCTTCTCTCTCTCTAAGCTTTCTTTTTCTCGCTCATTGTCGTTGTGTCGTTATTATCATCAGAGTTTTATCTCAACTATTTGAGATCAGCTACATGAATTCTCATCCCAATTATTTGAGTTTTGCTACACGAATCATGTTCGACCATTCTGCTATATCAAACGCCTCACCCTCTCCAGACGGAGATCCTCATATCTTTTTTTACTATTTTTATACATATCTTTTTGTATTTTTTTTTCTTTTTTTTTTAACTTTTTTAATTAAACCAAATTACACCTCCTAATGAGTATTATATTAGGTGTGCCCTACACATAGCCAACCTACCTAAATCTACAGTAGCTCTTTTTTCTCTCCCTAACTTGATTTATCTATCTACTTTCTCTCTTTCCTCTTTCTAACTTGAATTTACATGTGCGAATCCTCCCAATTTGAATACCCATTTTTAGACACGATCAAATTGAGTAATATATGTTTACATTCTGCATGGATTCTCTCTCGTATTTGACTTCGCCTCTTCTCTCTCTCTTTCCTCTTTTCTCGAATAAATTGTCCCTTATTCTGTTATTTTCTTGTTTGTCTTTATTGGGGTTCTCTTTACATTAAAGAGTACTGACCTGCGCATTGCAATACTTTATTCTGCAAGTGCTTTCTCTCTCTACATTTTTTTTTCCTTTAAAAGGAGAAGTTGCATTCGACGTACGAGTTCTAAGTCACGTGTAGAGAGGGTACTTTTCAATTGGAAAAATGTTTTTGATAGGGCTGCAGTCCTATTAAAATAAGCATAACCTCACCTCAAGATTCAAAAATGTAGTTTTGGCATCAAATTGATCATCTCGACCATGACTATTGTGATTGTAAAAAAAAAAAAAATTTCAAACTCTAAAAATAGTGTATATTGCAACATATTACCTAAACCATCAATTTTACCATTAAAATCATATATTCAATACCTATATTATTTTTTGAGCCTCTAAAATTGATTATAGAGCCGATTTCCAATAGCCTCGGCCTTATAAAAAACAAATGTTTCCTACTTTCTTAAGCACATTGAAGTACAAGTACATTGCACAGTATAAGGGGTCACATATTAATAGTGGGACAATTTCCAATTTTACCCTTCATCAAAACCATATTATTTTAAAGAGATATTATGTGAGAAGTTGATAATTTATATTTGATATTAGAATTAAAAATACCAATTCCATACGGTGACTTAGTCAGATACTAATATTAAAAACGACCAATGTAAATGACAATATATTTAGTAGGATATTAGAATGAGAAAATAGATATCTTATGGAAAATTGTTTCATGTGGGCTGGACCTCATTTCTACATATGCCGTCCATAAAGTGCAAAGCATCCCTCTTAAAGATGGATGTAAGTAGGTGGTCCATCTAAAAACAATAGAAACTAATGGTCCAACTGTTTTTTTAGTAGAATTATTATTTCTAGTTTTTAAAATTTATTTATTTATTTAGATTCATGGTCTCCATGTTAGAGATTACATGTCCTTAAAAAATAAGTCTTAAAATCCATCTTAAAAATAGTTGTATTAAAAGGTTCACATTTCTACATATGCCAGCTTGGCCGCATAGAAACCAGATCCATATCTTACAATGTGTTTAGATTGAGATGTTAGTATTTAAAATAGAAAACTTTTGTTGGACTGAGTGGCAAAATTAGAGAATGTCTTTACAACAATGTCTAATCCAATATTAATTCAACGTTATTTTAAAAAGAACCTAGTACGTTGTATGACCGTGGAAACCAGCGAGAAAATCAACCATGATCACAATCAAAATACAAAGCAAAAGCAAGAAAAACACCAAGATTTATGTGATTATTCATCAATCTCTATTTTTGAGAATGCCCGTAATAACAAATACAAAATCTTCCTTGAGAAAATTTTGAGATTTAGATAAATAAAATGATTAAAATGTTAGATAGCCCTATTTTTAGGATAGATAAGGTTTTAAGAAAAAGACGATCAACATTATAATTGCCCAATCTAGATCGGAGATCAATGGAAACCGATGGGGTTACCCGGTCAGAACTAGAAATTGGGTTTGGTGGAACCAAGTGATTTTGTTAAGGATCTAGGCAAATCAGATTGTCCTGTTCTATGAGATCTATATTATTTTTTGAGTTTCAATTTTTTTTGTTAGAAAAAATTTATATAAGGATTTTAAGTCTCATAAATAGTACATTTTACAACATATTATCTACACTGTCCAATTTTAAGATTTTCATATGTTTATAGATCTACTTGATTTTAACCATTTTTGAAATTTAAAATTTTTAATTAGATATAAAAATAGATTTTGAGATAATTCTAAGAATATTTTACATCAAAATTATATAGCATGATACAATTTCAAGGTGCATCTTACCTCTACAGCTACGGATGCATCTCTAAGCCAACTACACTTTTTTTTTTGTGTTAGAAATTGATTTTAAGTGACTCCGAGGTGGGGCTTTATTTTGTTTCATAAACCCTAAGCCTCATAGAAACTTCATCCTAGATAATTTGATAAATTTTTGTTTTCACTAATTTATAAATTTGAGTGGAAAAATTTGACGAAGGCTTAGGCTTGGGCCGGGCTTTCCTTTAATAAAGGGCAAGAAAAGGAGATTGGAATGGCATGTTCATTTATTTGAGTGGTGGGGATCCATCTTTCCTCTTTTTTTATACGAGGAACACTCCACTCTTTCTCCTCTCTCAGCATATTCTCTCTCCTCTCTCTATGTACAATGCCATGCCCTTCCACTATTTTCTCTCTCCTCCCTCCATTCCACTCTTCTCTCTCACTAAACCCTTCATCTTGTCCACTCACTCCTCTCTCTCTCTCTACCCCTTTCTCTCTCTACATCCTGCAAAAACTACAAGCATGCAAGCTAGAGAGAGAATCAGTGTAACTAACTTTCCCAGTCTCTTCTTTTTTGGGTTTTGCTGGTTAGCTACAGTGGCTTTGTGATTTAGGGTTTTCTTTTTTCCTTTTCTGTGTAATGATTGTGTGGCAATGGTGCGAGGAGGTTTAATGATAGCGATGCCCTCCTCCTCCTTTTAGAGAGAGAGAAAGCTCTGTTTTTTTCCTTTGTCAACCATTTCACAATGAGGAAACATGGGTGGCAGCTTCCATACCATCCTCTTCAGGTCTCTCTCAATCTACTCTCTGTCTCTCTCTCTCTCCTGTTTCTCTCTCTAAAATTTGGGGTTTTGACTGTGTTTTTTGTGCACAGGTGGTCGCTGTAGCTGTGTTTATTGCTCTTGCATTTGCGTTTTATGTGTTCTTTGTGCCTTTTGTTGGGAAGAAAGTGTTTCAGTTTGTTGTAATCGGTGTCTACACACCTCTGGTACTTACCGTTCTCTTATTTTTTCTTTCTCACTTTCTTTTCCATTATTTTCTCACTGTTATATCTCTTTTTTCCTCCATGTCAACACAGATGAATCTTCAAGCTAGGCTTTGCATGAGCATGGTTTTTCTTTGTTCAACTCTATTCTCTTGCACATTGGATCTGGAAATTTAGTCCATTTCAGTTCCTCTAGAAATCGTCGGTTTATGAGCAATGCGGAGTCTATAACTCATAAATTTCATAAATTTGGTGATTTGATTTATGTTTTTAGCTTACTGATCCTGATTTATTACCTGGGGTTATGCATATTTTTTTTCATAAATTTGGTAATTTGATTTACATGTTTTTTCTTACTGTTCCCCACTTATCACCTCGGTTATGCATATTATTTTGATCCATAGAGTTCAGACTTCGGCCTGCATTTTTTGGACATGAGATGCTTCACTTGCAACATAATGTGAAATCCTAGAGGTTGCGTTTCGGATTTCCAGTTGTTCCTAGAGGTTGTGTTTCGGATTTCCAGTTGTAAAATTTGGGGTTCTGGGATGAAATCTATCAAATGGCTGTCAATAAATTATTGCCCCCCTGATTCGATTGATTTTTACCTGATTCGCTTGATTTTTAATTTACGTCATGGATTTCATTGCTCTATGTGATATCTGAAAAATTGCTCTTCTATCTTTTGTTTCATCAAATCCATGGAAAGGGGTTTTGTGAATTTTCAAAAGAAAAGCTATGGAATCGTCTTTGTGTTTTGTGTGATACGACACCGTCCTGTGCTAGCTAGCCTTTCGGTATTTCTCACAATCTCAAGCTGGCTTGACGTTTGGAAGTTTCGATTTTGCTGGCAAAAAAAATGGCACTTGTACTTAGGGCTGTTGTAGTTATCTTTTCCTCGTTTTAAAATTAAGCTTGAAGCCACAATATCCACTCTGTGTCCTTTTAGTTGATTGTAATCCTCCTTTACATGTAAATTTTAAAAAATTATTCCATCTTTATTTCTTCTTTTTTATTCTATTTTATATATTTTTTAATAGGTCTGTTGTTTTCTCTTTCTTGACAGACTGCTAATCGAAATATTACATCATGAAATCTCATTACATGCTACTCGTTTTAGGATTCATGTTATATAATGCTCCTTTCAAACTAGTGGAAGGGGCTGAGAAACGCAGTGTTTACTCAGCAGCCTAGTGAGCTGAAAACGTTTCTGGACCTATTAAGAATTTGAGCTTATCACTGTATGAAAAACAGATGGCGGGCTTGATTCGCATTGTATAAGAATGTAACAAGAGCACGAAACACACGTATAAAATGAATTTATTTTTTCTTTACAGTTTCTATTCACGAGCATTCCCCTTCATACATATTGAAGTATGGATCCGTACTGCTTGAGTAATACCTTTTGTACAAGCAATTCATCTTGATGTACCATATTGCATCAACCAGTGTTCTAAAGCCCAAACACGGTTTGGGACTTACTGAGGTTCCCCAACCCAAACACCAGGTTCAGCGTGGCTGAGTCTGTATAAAAAAAAAATGAAAGCCAAAATAAGGTGGGACTTAATGAGTCCCACCTCTCTGGATTTGGACTCGCCAGGGTCCCTAAACAAGATGGCTTGGTGAGATTTAAAACACCGGGATCAATTTTTCTTGTGAATAAAATGGTACTTATGAAAAAAGGGTGGGTGTGTATGGTGGCCAGTTGTCTATGTCGCATTGCTTGTGATAAAATGTGCTGCTCTTTTCAGGTTGCATCGGTATTTGCCCTTTACATATGGTGTGCTGCAACTGATCCTGGAGACCCTGGAGTTTTCAAGTCCAAGAAGTATCAACACATTTCTAATGATAAAAAGCATTCCCATCTTAAGGGATCTGAATCTGTTGGTGCAACTACTTCTCCACTAAATGATGTGAGTGTTGCCTCAGTTGGAGAGAAAGGACTTGCTGAGGGAATGGATGTGGCTCCAATGGAAGGAGAATCAGCTGGAAAAGTTGAACCGAAGAGAATATGCACCATTATTCCCATGATTTTGGTAGGTTGCTGCCCTTTTGCTTGCTTGCAAAACCTTCTTGGTTCTCATGACCAATCTTCAGAGGCACAAACAAGTGAGGATGGGATGTTTTACTGCAGCTTATGTGAAGTAGAGGTATGTGTGGTCCAATTTGCAATGGTCATTGCATTATCTAATTATTAGTTTGAGTTGGATATGAATTTACTGTGCTTCTGCCAATGTTATTTTTTTTGGATAATTTTTTTAACGATGTAAAGTTGGGTATCCTTCATCCTTGACTTTTTAAATTAGAATCTTATAAAGTTCCTTTTGTTATGGAGGACAGAACCTTACCAGAAAAAACTTGATGTGTTCTTCCTGAATCATATTAATTTTTAAGTGCTGCTCCTTATAGTGGTATCATTCAAAAGAATGAGAACCGATTTTTGGGAATTATTGCCTATAAGAAATTTCTTTTTTCTCTGGATGGGAGCCAAGCCATGTTTGTTTGTACAAGGACCTCATGAACTTCCCTAGCTATGATTAACCCTCCAAAGACTTCCAAAAGAATTTAACCCTTCAGATGTGGTTTAGGGCTATGGAGGGATGGAAGGATGGAGGGATGGGAAGCCTGATTGATCTATTCACTTAGATCTCTACCTTGCACTAGGCTTGAAAATTGGAATATATTATGACCTTATTGATAGAATGTTATTGTCACTAAACTTTAATCTAGTGGTGTGACATTCAATTTGCACGAGGGAGGTAGAGGTTTCAAATCTTGTAAATTAGACCAGATATCCTTCTCTTTCTATTTCTAAAAGTTGAATTAGGACAGCTTATGTGCATGAGGAGGTTTAAGATTTTGAACGAGGGAGGTCATGGATTGATCCCTTGAAATTTGCACTGGAATGAGCCACACTAATCTACACTATGGGAATATGTTAATTCCATTTTTGAAAGGAATAAGAGAAAAATAACTTTTTGGATAATATTGTGTATAGGTGGCATCTAGCTTGGTACTTTTAATTTTTTGAAAGTTGCCATCTGATGTGGTGCTGATTGTGATATGATGGAATTTCAATGGAATCTTTGCAGGTCTACAAGTACAGCAAGCACTGTCGTGTTTGTGACAAATGTGTGGATGGCTTTGATCATCACTGTCGGGTATGAAGTATGATCACTGCAAGAAAACACACATATGCCCCAATTTTCCTTGGGGTGTGAACAATTCTTTTGCTTTTTAAGGCTGTCTCATGTTGTGTTTTCTCGTTTTGTAGTGGCTCAACAACTGCATTGGAAGGAAAAACTACAAGCGCTTCTTTACCCTCATGGTTTCTGCTCTTCTTTTGGTAAGCAAACAAACCTATACAATATCTACTGAACGGAATTATGTAGCCAATGTCATGTAAAATCCACAATCATAAGAAATATACAGCCATTCAAAAGCCACACTTCTACTATTCTTTGCCCATCCGTCTCCCTGTTAGAAAATTTCCTAGTCACAAACAACATACATTGTAAGCCTGTGATCACTACCTGCTATTTTGTCCCTCTCAAACACAGAAAAAACATACATTGTAGGCTGTTGACCTTGACACACCATTTTTATCTTCGGCTTCTTTGCAACAGCCAACTTTTGACAAACCCGATCCTGTTCTTAGCAGTGAAACACTGTAGTAAGCATTTTATTTCGATCTTTTTCATTTTGGTTTATTATTGACAGGTCTCCGTGGTTTGTGCACCTTGGGCTTGAGCTTGCAGCTTATTCTACAGTGGTCGATTGGGATCCTCGTGCTGATTTGCTGTTTTCTCGAGCGGAAACGATTCTTGGTGGAGATCATATCAAAGTTGGGGAGCAGTTTCTCTTTGGTTCCCTTTGTTGTAGTAGTGGTAAGTGTTCTAGTTCTACCTTTTGTTCTTTTCTTTTAAGTACTATGTTTGATCAGTTTTTACTTGGGAAAAGTATTTCCCATTCTCATAACACCTTTCTGACATGCATTTCCACAGGCTTCTTGCACTCTCCTGGCTATGATTGCGACTTTACCACTTGTACAGCTTTTTTTCTTCCACGTTCTTCTCATTAAAAAGGTCTGTGTGCTTTATATCCTGTTTTTTCTCGTTTATTACCTTCTTGTGTTTGCACTAGCTTAATATACTGCATAAAATTGTGGACTTATACTTCATCAAACAAACATTTGTGTATTAATATAGGCACCAAGGTAACTTTCAATTTTCCATTTGTCTAATCTTGGGCCCTTATTTAAGGCCCAATTTTCGTTATCATTTGGCATGGCCAGCTAGTTTTATGTACTGCTTGAATTGTATGCTAATACGAGCCACCAAGTTACATCTCCTATCAGCACATGTGGGGTGTGGCAAACGATGAAGCTGATAGTCTTGCGAAAGATGGATTGACGGAGCCAATTCTCGAGCTGAGAATGGGGCCATTTTGGCACCTTTTTGAGCTGCGGTCCTACATTTTTTATGTCTATATTACTAGAAAAGGATTGTGGACTAATACTTCATGAAATGGGCTCCAAGTTAACTTTCGACTTTTCTATTTGTCTAATCTCGGGGTACCATTATTTAAGGCCCGATGTTCGTTATAATTTGGCTAGTTTTATGTACTGCTTGAATTGTATGCTAATACGGGCCACCAAGTTACCTCTCCTATCAGCACACGTGGGGCGCGGCAAATGATGAAGCTGATATTCTTGCGAAATATGGAGTGACGTAGCCAATTCTGGAACTGAAAATGTGACCATTTTGCATCCTTCTGGGCTGCGGTCATAACTTTTTATGTCCATATTATCAGAAAGGGTTTTCCACTCAATATTTGTATGGAGATCACTAAAGATATCTTAATTTTGGAAATGCATAATGTGCCCAACCTGTGGGATGCCATACCTCTCTCTTGTAATGCTTCTTAATTTTAAATACCATCTTTGGCCTTCTATTTAAAAAACAAAAAGAAGTCAAGTTATGCCTTATTCCCCATCATTCTAATCTTTGGATAAACTTCTCTGTTTGAGGCCTGAGTTGTTATCATTCAGAATGTTTCATCTGATTTAAAGTTTAACATTTCAAAAAACAAAAATGTTTCAGATGATTTTTGTCAAAAACACAAGCGAGTTGTCTTATCTAGCTCAATCTACCTTGCTTGCTATTATCATTCCAATTTTTGTGTCTTGATTCTATGTGGCGCTCGTTCCGACTTACTTTCCTGATTTTGTTAAGTGACTCCTATTTTGACTTGGTTAATAATGAGTGATTTTGGGATTCGAAGCTGGTTACTGTGACATAGATAGCACACTCCTGTTCAAATTCCATCTGTTTTCTTCTCTGGTTAACTTTGTATCCACATGTATTGCAAGTTCTTTGTCTTTATTCTTAACCTGACTTAGACAACTGGACTCAGCTGTGCCATAGGAGACTTGTACTTGTGATCTTACAAACTTGTATCTAACTGTGGATTCGGCTGTAACGGTAACAGGGCATCAGTACATATGATTACATTGTAGCACTGAGGGAGCAAGAGCAACAATGCGTTGAACCAGGACAGAGTCCTCAGATGTCTCCAGCTGCCAGCTCTCTTACCGGAATGAGCAGCGCTAGCTCATTTGGCAATTTTCACAGTGGCGCTTGGTGCACTCCTCCACGCTTATTCGTTGAAGATCAGGTATATGGCCCTAACATGCCTGCATTTCCTCCTATGAAGTGTGAGAGACTACCACGAAGCATCAAAGTTATGGACATACCATATGCTTTCAACAACAATTATCATTACTTTGAATGCTCTTAGAATTTGTCTCTTTGTGGTAAGAAAGCTTAGGAAGTTTAGAATTCTTTTTATGCTTTTGATGGCAAGTAAGGAAGCTTGGTATTCTTGTGATGCGGTTATTATACCAACATTTGAAAATGTGTGCTTGAAAATTCACTTGAGGGCACATCCAATACACTTGCAATAGTAAGCCAAGAACAATGTTATGTGACTGGCATATGTGTTTTTTATCATTTAGATGACTTTCCTGAAAATATGAGATTTGCTGGGCAAACTCGTATATTTTGTAAGAGGAAGAAACTTTTCGTAACTGTTGACATGTAATGAAACTGTATTTGGATAGAAGTGTTAGACCGATGCTTGGGCCTTGAGTGTTTTGTAAATGTTTCATCTCTGTCCCAACAGTTTGATGTGATTCCTTCCGATGCTGGATTACCCATGACCTCTTCCCGCAAAAAGGGGATGATGGTAACTGAAGAACCGTTCACCAAGAAACGTAATCCGGCTCCCGTAAAGATCAGCCCTTGGACTCTTGCCCGCCTTGACGCAGAGCAAGTCTCAAAAGCAGCTGCCCAAGCAAGGAAGAGGTCAAAAATACTCCAACCGGTGGCCAGACGTGATGCCCTAGAGACCGACAGCAGTTTGGGCAGCAGCAGTGGCCGGATGGCTTTTCGTGTAGACAACAACAACAAGAAACGCCCCAACAAGAAGGCCAACAGCAGGCTGCCTCTGGACCACCAGTTGGTCATGAAAGCCCCTTCTAAAAGTGATTATAGTGGCCACAGCAATGATGGAGAGACATCGAACAGCTTGGCGCCTCTACAAATGGAAGCAAGAAGCGCATTTCGAACAAGTCGTGCCATGTCTTCAGCTGCTACTGGTGCTGTGGTGGCTTCATCGCCGGAAAGCAGCCTGGATTCACCTGATCTCCATCCTTTTAGGGTTTCGTCTTCTGGTGCTGATGATACGACACAGGGTGGTCTTTCAGGTGCTGCTGCTGCTGCTTCTCAGGGGGGTAGCATAAGATTTTCAAGGTCGACAAGTGATGGCTATGAAGCCTCTGGGGGTGAAGATAGCGACCGGGTTGTGCCCCCCAGAGTGCACCAAAGATCTTCAAACTGGAGCAGCTTACTCTTTGGTTCTTCCTCTGTTGGCTATGGAGACGGGAGCATGATGGATGCCGCATTGCAGATGCAGAAGCATAACAGGGTCGGTCGTTCTAGGCCGACATCTTCATCGGGTTTAGGAAATGGTACAAAGGGTTTGGATGAGCAGTTGTAGCTCTGTTGATGAACTATTCGATTTTTTTGTGGCTCTCTCATTCTCACTTGCTCTCTCCTTTTCGATTTGGGAGGATGCTTTGGGGTTTGTTAATTCCTTGAGCCATGCGTGGGGAGAGGGTTTTCCCATTTTAGGGAATTGGAGAGCTCTTTCTGTTGTGGATTCTCTTTCGACTTCCCTGTGGTGATGGAAAGGAAGAATGGTGTGGCTTTTGAATGAGTGCGGAGAGGGAATTTGAAATGGAATGATCACCCCTTGTACTTGTTCATTGTCACTTTATTGGTATGGGGTTTGATTTTCACCACTATGGTTGGTTCCTTAACTTACCATCTTCCTTTTCTGGCCTTGTATTTACTTGGTTGCTGATTATCTATGAAGCAGTCTAAATTTCTGTTGTTGTAGACTAGTTGGCCTTGTATTACTTGGTTCCTGATTATCTGGTATGCACTTTAAAATTCTGTTTGTTACTTGTAGACCAAGGGTATTATACCAGATTCTAATGGAGTAGTAGTGTATGGTGTTCCGTAGTCCAAAGGCCATGCATCACCCATTCCTGTTGATGGATGGTGGAAATTGATCCTTCTAAGGGAACACATTTAAGCTATACTGATCTTAGTGGAGAACCTTTTGGAGTACCAAATATCATACACCTTTGGATTATGGTAAACTTATTTGTTTATTAGGAGAGAGCAAACTGATTGTAATTTTTGAACTGGGAAGAAAACAGATGCTCTATCATTATATGCATGCTCCAAAGGGTCTTTTTGGGGATAAGGAAATGATACAAGATTAACATAACCAAAGCACAGACAAAGGAAAATCTTCTTTGCAATGAGGAGTATTTTTCTTCATACTTGTGAAATAGAAGAAAACAAAACTCCAATGGCATTGATGATTGCTTTTCCGTCAGCAGGTCACCAAATGATGTTTATTTTTTTCTGATGTTTTGTTTTTTGTGTTCTTGTAGACAAAAAAATCTCCATATCGAACCAGCTTCCCCTTGTTGGGGCACCTCAATTTTCAGGCAAAAGCTCCATGAGAGAGAGAGAGAGAGAGAGAGAGAGAGAGAGATGCAACGAATCTGAATTTACAGATGATCACAACTAGACAAGGGAGTTGTATAATCAGCAATAGAAGATGGGCTCAAACCCGCCATGAATTATACTTCCTCCCCTTCTTCTAAGAGCTTGGACCTCGCACCATCATCATCATCCAATATTCTCATTTGAAACTGATAAATCCTCTGGTTCTCAGAGAGAGAAATAGACTTGCAGCTCTTATAGAATACGCACCACATCACCAGATCAAGCATTGTGATAATGGAGTATATATAGATGAGAAGTGGCCCCTCCCACAGAGCATTCATCTCAAAATAATAATAAGAAGAAGCCGAGAAATAATAAGAAGCTCCGACCACCCTGTACTGAAACAGGGCCTCAACTCCGGCCAAGCTGAGATTAGTGCACAAAGTGATTAAAAGAGCGGTTGCCGTTCTCCCCTGTATCAAGATATAGGCCTTCAAAATGGCGAGAAATGCACTGAAATTCTCTAAACCGCTCACCACCGTGGCCAAGTTGCAGACCACAATAGTGTTGGTGAGGATTATGGAGTAAAGGATAGCGGCGGCGACTGAAAGGAAGTGAGAGCAATTGGGGGGCAGGGAGGAGAAGTCAAGAATATCTAGAGAGAGGATAGAGATGGAGAGGAGGGAGAAGAGGGTGGCGTTGACCGTGAGGATGAAGAGAGAGGTGGAGAGGTGGGTGATGAGGAGCCGGGTCCATATGGAGAGGAGGGAGCTGGTGCTTCGTTTGGAGACAGAGAAAGTGGTTCGGAAGAGGTAGGCCTTTGCGAGGAGGAGGAAGGAGAGAGAGAAGGGGAGAGAGAGGAGAGAGGAAGAGAGCGTTTGAGAGAGCTTGAGCTGGATGAGAGAGGCCAGGCGTGTTTCTGGAAGGCCGGTAGCAAGGGAGAGGGAGCGGATGCGAGACAGAATGGCAGGGAGAATAGAGAATGAGAGAGTGTTAGAAAGGAGGATTGAGGCCGAGGCCGGGAGTGCAAGGATGGCTGCCACACACGCAATGGACGAGTAGTTTTGCAGGAACGTGTAGACCGATCGCCTCATCACTCTTCTGATGCCTACCGCTTCTTCCATGGCCTCCTCTCTTGCTGCCATTGTATAGAGAGAGAGATAACCTGACCTTCTCAGTTTCCTCTATTTTAGAGGGGGGAAGGAGAGGTGGGTGCAGAGAGAGAGAGAGAGGAAGGGAGAGAGAATATTTAAGTTGCAAAGACTAGAGGTAGAGAGAGAAAGTTTAAGGGAGAGAGAGGTAGAGAGAGAAAGTTTAAGGTGCAAAGGCTAGGCTTCTTGGCCCTATGAGTATGGTGGGAGTAGGGAGAAAAAAAACAACTACCAACAACTAACATATGAGATATATGGTGGAGCCCTTAAAGCTTTCACAATAAGAAATCCCTCCTTCAACCATGGGTTGATAGGAATCAATAAACATATGCAATAGCCATAATTATCTTTTGACGAATATAATTAGTCGGGTGAAGATCCCCCCGTGAATGTCCAATTGAGTGCGGTACTTTTGGATATGAATGAACAAATGGGTATATAATCCTATAAACATCGAATATATACATGTCAAAATATTAATCTTAGAATTGGCTTCGTTGAGGCATTGAATATTTCTATAATAATTTTGATAAAATTTAAGTATTTTAGTTTTTAAAGTTTTGAAGTATATCAACGTGCACAAAAGCGATGGTCACATGACTATATATTACACGAGGAAGAGTATGTAAGCAGACAATTTGCTTTGAATATAAAGCAATCACAGTCACATCAGATTTTAAATTTTTAAATTTGGTGGTTGTGAATATGTCATTGAATAGACTTCTAGTTCAAATTCTTTTTTCTTTTTTTGGACTTTATCGCATATCCCAAGCCATTCAATTTAATATTTAATGGCTAGTAGCAATTAACCTCCTTGTATCAAAGATAAATGGTATTATTGTACACACTCCCATTACATAAGGTGTCACCAACGATCAATAGGGTACGTTAAGGAAAGAATATATATAGCGTCAGAGATTCATATGAGAGAGGAAATCGGAGGGTACAGTGTCTCGTATATGCCAAATAATATTGGGGATTAACATAAGAGAGAAAGTAATATGAGAATTCATATCAGAGAGAAAAAAATAGTAGAGAATCATCATCAAAACTTTTTCCCAACTATTTGAGATCGGTTATACAGAAAAACGAGTTGAGAATAATGAGAGCAAAAGACCAATATAAGATGGTAAGTAAAATCTAGGATAAAATTTAAGAGAGAAAAAGAATAGTATGAGGATTGAGAGGAGAGAGAAAAAAGAGCAAGGCATTCTAGTGAGAGAGGAATGTCAAGTATAAGCAAAGTAAGAATGATGAATAATAATGGAGTTGGTCGGTAGGGTTGCCTAATCCCCAACGCCTTCCAATGTCATTGAGGAGCGTTGTAGTTGGGAAGGATCATTTTGGCTTTTGGGTAAGCCGACAATTTTTGTTTGGTGCTTACATAGTAGAGTAGAGAGAGAGAGACGAAAGAAATAGGCAGCATATTAATTTAATTAAATCCCTAGATGCATGTAATTTACTGAGAGAAAGAGAGAGATTGAGCAGAAATAATCGAAAGCTAACCACCAGTTCACGGAGGATGTGGCTCCAATATATAATAAAAAAAAAAGACTACCTCTAAATTGATTTTTTATTAGCAAATTATAGTGGCTGAGAAAATTTATTATCAATTATAATTATAAAATTTAAAGCTTAAAAACTAGTTTAGATGGAGAAAATTTATAAACACTTGAAAGTATTGAAAATTGATAGATCAAATACTGCATGTATATTTATTTCCTAGACTTGAAATCCATTTTTTTTTTTTAATGGCTATGCATCTTGAAGTGAGATTATAGATTTGAGAGTTTTATTTACATTGAAACAACATCTTCTAGTGAATTTTTGAGACGCGATTGTTTAGGACCACAACCTTACATTAACTCTTTTTTTTTTTCTGTATTTAAACAGGGAGACAGAGAGTGCGAGATTTAAAAGAAAAAGGTTGTTAAGGGGTTTGTACTTGAGAGAGACATAGAAACCAAAAGTTGTTAGGGGGTTATTGTTGCAAAGTAATTGGACAATATTAAAAAATAAATGGAATCGAAGAGGATGGGAATTCCTTATGTGGATATATGTTGAGTCACATCGAGAGCTATATATTTTAATCATTCATGGATGGAGAATATATGAATCAGGAGTGCTCGACTATGAGAGAAGAAAAAGGTTGGGAATAAACATCAGCTTTTAGAGAGAGAGAGAGAAGCAACAGAAGAGGGGGAATAAAATAGAAGCATTGAGAGAGAGAAGTGAATAAAATAGCAGCATTGAGTTGAGAGAAGGAAAGAGAACAAAGCACAAGCACGGAAGGATGATTTGAAAGAAGAAAGAGATGGAGATGATCTCTAGAGAGAAATGAGAGATGATTTCGAGGAGAGAGATGGAGATGATATCAAGAGAGAAATGAGAGATGAATTCGAGGAGAAAGATGGAGAAGGGGGAGAGATGGTTTGACTTTGAAGCAAGGATGGCCGGGACCCAACTTGGATTCGGGAGCCAAGATTTAGACCCATTTAGTTTCTTTCGGGTTTGAGTCCGAGCTCAACTAAGTGGGTTATTTTTTGAATCTTAATATATTTAATTATTTAAATATTATAACATTTTAGTGGGGTGGATCCTATTGAATCCGGATCTCCCATTTGCCACCTGATTTCAAAAGGCAAAGGGGATGATTTGATAGAATTTCAAGAGAAAAAAAGGGCCAAAAAGAGAGAGAGAGAGAGAGAGAGAGAGAGTATTACG